TACGGCCACGATCCACATCCTCCCGTGGCCTCGACTGGTCATCAATCCCAGCACTATTTTCTACTGATTCCTGGTAGGGACTCAGAATCCTTCCATGTCCTGTCAATCAGCTGGTGTTGTCATTCATTCGATAAACATTCAGGGGGTGCCTAAAATGTGCTAGGTACTGAAGAATACGTCAGACGTTGCCGTGACGTATAAAGCTTATATCATATCATTCTAGATGCAATCTGCTTGCCATGCCAGGCTTCTAATCCTGCTGTGCTCCGTGCTTGGAATCAGTGCAGGATGACACAATAGGCAAAGGCTTTGAAATTAGGGAAGCCAGTGTCTGAATTTGCCTCTGCCACCACAGAAGATGCCTGTTAATGTTGTGTCCCCGGTATTCATTTTTATCTGGTAACGGGATCTTCCTGCTGTCGGGGAACTGCCTCTTCCCTGCTCCATGATGGTTGGCCCTAGGGTTGAGTCTGTGTCAGGCCTGGCTAATCATGGTACGCCTTTACCTTTACCTTTTTTACCAGAGTAGAAATTAGACATGTGATCCAATCTGGGACAGGAAGTAACCTTTTTTTTTTTTTTTTTTGGTAGGATTTGTATGCTTGAAACTGGGAGATAGAATATCTCTTTCTTAAGATGACATAAAACGAGAGCTCTCAGTGACCATTTTCCCACCCTTCACCCCACCCCCCCACCCCCAGGAAAGAAGCTTTCTGCAGTATGGCAAATGCAGGGAAGGCAAGCTACAGAGGAAAGTAAAGCGGAGAGAGAGAGAGAGATAGAGACAGGGAGATGGAGGTAGATCACAGACACAGTGATAGCACTGGAATCAATGAAGACCCTAGGCTGGTTGCACCCTGGACTGCCAGGTGACAACCAGCCAATAAATTCTCTTTGCCGTCAGCTGGTGATCCTGACCTCTCAGACAGAGGCGGGTGGGGTAGAGGGCAGCACTGGAGTAAGGAATAAGCATATTTCTGTACAGAGCAAGAAGGAAAAGCCAAAAGACTTCTGGAGAACAATTCGAACCGTCTCTGTACCAATAAACATTTAAAAGGAGACAGAGCGTACATCTTGTCGCATGTTTTCTTTTGAGCGTCGATCTGAAGTGAGTGTGTTCGGGGTGGTCCTGCCTCCCCTGTGGTACGCAAGTCCCCACAGGGCCTGGGATTTGTTGCTCCCATATTTTTCCTCCAGCTACTGACTGTAATATTCATCCTTTTATCTTCGTAGGGTGCATTGTGCTTTGAAAAACACTTTCATCTGCATTATCTCATTTGATTCTCAGGGCATCTGTGAAGAAGGCAGGGCTGGGATTACTATTCTCGCCTGTCAGATTGAAAAACGGAGGTTTCGGCTCTGGCATCTCAGCACCTAAAAAGAGAGACACACAGTGATCTCACAGGGAATGAGTGGCACAGATGTGGAAGGACCCCGGGATTTGGAGCCAGAAGGGTCCTGGCTCTTTTACTTCCTGGTTGTCTGACTTTGGGCAAATCACTCGGTTCCTCCCAGTCGCAGTTTCCCTGTCTTGTCAGATATATAGGGATGACATTTCCCTTCAAGGATTCTTGTGACTGTCTCGGGAGATGATATAGAATAAAGGGTTCGTGAGCTATAAAGTGCTCCTCACCTGTCCGGGGTGGGGTTTTATGGGCCAGTGGTGTGTTTAATTCAGCCGGCCTAGGCTCACAAGGGCTGTGGGGCACACCTCCCCCAACTCCACATTCAGTGACATCCTTTGGCTAGCTCGAAATCAGACATGGTGAGAATATTTACACCAAGGAAATTGGCAAATGCCACAAATCAGGGCTTCATTTATTCCTCTGAGAGTTGTGTGTTAACCAGCACAGGGACAGTGGTGGGATGGAAGGGAGGGAGAAGAGAAGGGTATAAATATTTAAGGTGCATTATGTATTTTGAGTACACCCTTACAGCAGCTCCTATAGTATGCACAACAACTTCTGGGGGCAGATACTGACCCTACTTTATTTGTAGTTTTTTTTTTTTAAATGTTTATTTAGTTTTGAGAGAGAGAGAGAAAGGAGGGGAGGGGCAGAGGGAGAGAGAGAGGGAGACCGAGTCTCCAAAGCAGTCTCTGTGCTATCAGCTCAGATCCGGACAGGGGGTTTGATCTCATGAACCATGATGATCATGACCCGAGCCGAAATCAAGAGTAGGACGCTTAAACAACTGAGCCATCCATGTGCCCCCTGACTCTACTTTATAGATGAGGTAATTAAAACAGTGCTCATAACAACTTACTCAAGAACACACAATAAATGACAGAGCAGGGACTCAAAGCCAGGTCTCACATTCTTTCTTACAGCCATGCAGCATGTCAAAGATGCACCCGTTATCATCTGTTCTTTCCTTGGTCTCCAACCTGAAATAATGAGAGAGTATGTCCATTTCTAGGGCCACTTAACATTTGAAATCCGTGTTTGGACTTAAGTATCCTAGTCCCTAAAGAAAACTGTCCTGGAGAACGATGAGGAGTACAATACATTGAGCTGGGTGCAAGGGAATGAGTTGACTTATCTCTGAGACCTACAGTTCTGGGTCTCAGTTGGGTAAATGCTTGAGAGTATTAGAAGCTAGGCAACATTGTTAGGTTGTGGCCACTTGAAGCATTTAGGCATGGAGAGGGAGAAAGTCAAGAGCACCTGGGGCCAAGTGCCAGCTCTGTCACCACCTAGCTGGGGCTCACCTCCTTCGTCTGTCAAAAGGGGAATACCAAAACGTTCCTGTTCCTTTCTGTGTGGTATTGATGGAGAAAAGGATTCTGAAGGCCTCTGGAATCTATTAGAATGCATGGATGCAAGAGAATTTTCATGTGTCTCAGCTGAGAACCTTTCCTCCTGTTGCTAAGAGAGAAAGGACGGTGTTCCTTTCCTACCATCTCTTGCTCGACACCCCAGCCCAGCCCAGCGCCCCCCTTTTCCCCTTTCTATTTTTATATCTCGAGTGCTTCATATGATGATGTCCTGCATGTTTAAAACTAGATGAGGGTGTCAGGCAGGGAAACAAAAATCAAAAGGACCTAAACAAAATGAAAATTGGTTTCCTGCTTGCAAAGGTGATGGATGATGGGTGCAGGGGCCGGTGTTACCAATGCAAGCCTTTCTGCAGGTGTTGAGGGGAACTCTTTCTAGACCCAGCAGGTTACCACTGCAGGCCCTGGGCAGGACAGTTCCAGGATAGGGATGGCCAACCTTCCTTTACCCCAGATGGAGCAGAGGTATTGTAGGAGCACTCTGGAGGCCCCTGGAAGAGCCCTCTGGAGGCTCTAGAAATGATGGATATAGTGAAGATGAAATTAACACTTATGTAACACTTTAGGTGCCTTTGTCCTCTCATTTAATACTCACAATAATTTAATAAGAATATATATTATTATTTACATTTTCCAGTTGAGGAAAAGGATTCTCCGAGTGGTGGGAGAAATTCACATTCAAGCTCCCAGGGTACCTGCCAAGGGGCTCTTCCCCCTACCAGACCTAGTGGAAGAGGAGAGGGCACTGTTGGTTGTACTGGCCAAGGAACGGAAGGGGACTTTTATTCACCACTGTAGGAGCCTCTAATTGGTTCACCTGCTTCCACTCATGTCCCTTCCAGTCCATTGTCTGCATAACAGCCCAGGTGAGCCTTTACAAATGCAAGTGGTACTATCTCTAATCCCAGAACAATCACCTCCCTCTGAACTCCAAACTTCTGAGTCTAATCACCTTACTAAGTTCCTCCCATAAGACCAGCCTCTTTCTCTACCTCCCCACCTTATCTGATACCACTAATCACCACTCTTGCTATATTCCAGCCACAGTTGGTTTCCTTCTGCTGCTCAAATGTATTCAATTCACTCCTGCCTCAGGGCCTTTGCACTTGCTCTTCTCTCTGTCTTGAATGTTTTCCCCTTCAGATCTTTTATGCCTGGCCCCTTATCATATAGGTCTCGGGTCAGTTGCCATCTTTCAGACAGTCCTTTCCTAACTGCCAACCTGATGTCTTATCCTGTTCATTTCCTATCACATGCCACCATCTGACATTAAATTATTGCCATTTATAGTGTCATAGTCGTTATTACTATCTGCTGGTGTCTTGTTAATATATTGGTTTATTTACTGTGTCCCTGTACTAGAGAGAAAGTGTCAAGAGAGTAAGGATCACTTGCCTATCTTGTTGAAAGTCCTACCCCGACTCCACAAAATAGAGATTGGCACTTAATAAGTAAGCACACAATAAATACTTTTGAATGGGTGAATCGTGACTGATACATGATCATCCCAGGAAAGGTGGATCTGCACTGGATGAAGGAAGAACCCCATCACTCAATGTATCTTAAGCTCCGTGCTTATCTCATTCGATTCTCACAACAATCCTGGGACAGCTCATCTGATTCCCATTTTGCAGACGAAGAAATGGAGGCTCCATCATTTAGCAGTTTGCTGATGGTCGCACAACTGAGACTGGAACCCTTGTCTGCCTGCTCCCGAGCCCACACCCTGGATCTTGGGGAGAGCAGAAGGGTGTCTCTGGGACACGGAGAGCGTGTGTCTGTTGCTGCAAAGCCTCGTGTGTGTGTGTGTGTGTGTGTGTGTGTGTGTGTGTGTGTGTGAAGACTAACGCGAGAAGGAGGCCATGTAGAGGCACGTGCTGGCCAAGACTCCAGCGGCAGAAAGGAGGGCTCCCCCAAAGAGATCGTCATTGCCTGGCCTGAAGTCCAGGCCTCCCTGGGGAAGAGCCATTCCCAGAACGTCTGCAAGTCGTAGGCTTTCCTGTGATCGGAGAGGGGAGGGAGTCTGCCAGTGGGTACTGAGGACCTTCTCCCTCACGGCGCTCACACCCTGGCCGGGTCGGCTTTGCCACTGCTGCGGGCTCCTGCATTCTGCGCTAGGTGGCGAAATGCTGTGGGGCTCCCCTATTCGGGGGAATGCGGTAGTGATGTATAAGGTATGAAAGATGTGGCCTGCAGAGAGCCAGCACTATCTCTACTGCTGCTGCTGCCGCTGCTGCTGCTGCTGCTGCTGCCGCCGCCGCCGCTGCTGCTGCTGCCGGCAGAGCTGCTGGGAGTGAGCTGAGCATCCCCCGTCCGGGATACCCAGCTCGGGCGGCAGCTCCCGCGCCCTGGCCCGACACGGACCTGCCAGCCCCAGGGAACAAAAGCGGAGCCCGGTCGCCCTCTCCTGCAGCCAGAGGATGAGTCGAGAGGGCTGAGCGGAGAGTGTGGTCCTCAGCGGCTGGAAGGTAGGAGAAGGTGTTGCGCTCGCCTGCCTCGGAGTGGGAGGCGCGGGGTGGGCGCGCCAGGGTGGGAATGGCCGGGGGACCAGCCTGTCCCGCGGGTGCTACCGGACCCGGCGAGGTGGTCTTCCGGAACACCGCACCCGCACTGCCAGCCCACCGCGGGCAGGGCGCCGTGCTCCCCGCAGCCGCGAGGGAGCCCCCTGGGTGGGAATTGGAGGCAGCGAGGGAAAAGTCTGGAGCCCGACACCGGGCAGCGGCAGCGGCGGCTGCGGAGGGGCTGCCACGGCACTTGGAGGCGTGCGACTCGCTGCGAAAAGCGGGCGGGCGGCGGCTGCAGTGTGCGCAAAGTTTTGGGTGGCGCGCAAAGACGCAGGCGAGGGCCGCCGCGCAGAGCCGCGCAAGTTGTGGCCAGAACAGGAGGGCGACCCCCGGGGGCCCCCACGCGGACTCGCCGACACTGGGACAGGTGGCTTTCGCTCCCCCCACGCTAGCCTCTGCTGGGTTGACGCGCAGCCACTTAACCCTTCCCAGCCCGGGGGAAACAACTTCCTCCTGTTGGAGGCGGCTGCACTCAGGCTGGCTGGGTAGCTTCGAGGTTCCCCGCTCTGTCCTTTTGTGGTCTCGCGCATTTCCCCCCTCATTCTGGGTTTTCTGCGATTTTCCGTCCACTACTGTGTCCAGAAACCAGGCAGGGTGGCTGCGGGTCTTTTCCCCAGTCTGTAATTTTACCCCTCGCGCCACCTGGACACATGTTTTCTCTCTCCCCCCTCAGTTTGGCTCTTTGATGCTGCCTTGAAAAATGAGATGATTAATCAATTAGGTTAGTGGCCAATTAGGCATAACCTTGTAGCAAAATAATTATGCCCGGCTCTCCGGGCTTTCACTGGAGATGAGATGGGAATCCAGCCCAGGTGGAGGGGCTGTTCCGAAAAGATATGGCTGATCAGGGAATTTCTGGGAATTTAAGATTAAAAAAATCCAAATGTGTGGTAGCGGCAGAGGTTGTGGGGGCTCAGTAGGGGTGTGTGTGCGTATAAATCCCCCCCCCCCCCCGCCCCTGAGGAAATTAACCCTTGGCTGCACAGTCTGGGTAGACTTTGCAGGCAGCGTGTTTCCAACGGCTCAGAAAAGGTGTGTCCCCTGCCTGCCAGCCCCATCCCCCTCGTCTCTGAGGGGCTCTCGCCTGTAAATCGCCTCACAGTGGCTTTTCTGCTGTTTGGGGAGGCTGAGTTCCGATGAATGCATTTTAGTTTCATGTCCGAGGAATCGCGTCGTTGCAGAAGGAGGTTCTTGTGCTGTGCCTTCCGAGGATGCACATTTCCCCTGCTCTTGTTAAATAAAGCGGTTATTAAATGGGTGCAAATGGGAGACAGTCTGTTTCCAGGGTTGGGAAGTTCTGCCGCTAAGCGGGGCTTCCTTTTTCTTTTTTTGGAATGACTGGCGGGGTTTGGCACTGCGGTATTACAATACAGCCATATTAAAAAGGTCTTCGGAGCTTAGAGCCCTCCACTACCGCAGCCCCATCTTCAACAGACTTCCTTTCTCAAATCCTTCTTGCCAGCAGCTTACAGGGGATTTCTAATGTGTGCCCCGTGCATTTTAATCCCTTTCTGTCTCTATTTTCAGCTTATTCTATCTGTTTATACATCTGGACCCTATATAGTGGATTTCTTTTCAGAAGGCAAACACCTAGAGCCGTTCTCAGGGCAGAGGGATTTTTTTGCAACAGGTCCTAGGTCTGGGATTTCTAATAACGAGTCCCCCTGGCATTTGGTGAGCCGGGGCCCTAGTGTCTCTCCCAGTGATGTGACCACGTTGGACGAGGTGGTCTCTGACATCCCCTGCAGTGCTGACATTAGCTGGTTCTGAATTTTATGGCTTTGCTTCCTTTCTGAGTGGAGAAAGCTGGCTAGGGCTTATGAGCAAATAGGAATCGCCCAGCTGGAAGACTGCCTCATGATACTCGTGTTCAGGGACAACTGGGAGCCATAGGCTCCACCCGCCTTCCTCAAAACGAAGGGCCACCATTCGGCCCTCTCTCTTTTCCAAGATTTATTTTTTTCTTAAAGCTGGGCTCAGCCATTCACCTTACTGTGATCATATGTGTTGCTCAGATTCTTGTGCTTAGCAAAGGCATTCCTCCTCTTCTGAAATTGAAGCTTTTTCATTATTTTTTTTATTTTCTATTTAAAAATGTTCATTTACTTATTTTGAGAGAGAGAGAACAAGCAGGGGAGGAGCAGAGAGAAAGGGAGAGAGAGAATCCCAAACAGGTTTCATGCTGTCCGTGCAGAGTCCGACAGGGGTCTTGAACCTACAAACCGTGAGATCATGACCTCATGCTGAAATCAAGAGTCAGATGCTTAACCAACTGAGCCACCCAGGTGCCTTGAAGCTTTTTAACATAGTGGGAAGGGATATGGGAGGAGAAGGAAGGGAGAGAGGAAAGAGGGATACAGAGACAGTTTAAGGCTTCGAACACAGGCAGGCAGTGGGAAAGAGGTAGGAAATACAGAGAATGGAGGAAGAAGAGGAGGCAGAAACACAGGCAGGGGAGGAAATACAGAGAGGAGGAATTCTAGTTCAGAGGAGAGAGAAATGCCCACATAAACCAGTCTTGTTTCATTACATGGCTTGAAAAAATATAGAGGAAAACCCTGAAATGCAAGAGAGTCATTCCAGATAGACTCGCTTGGGACTCAGCTTTGACGTAAGCAGATAATTACTTATGACGTAAACATTGCACCACAGAGAGGCATTAACTCTTAGTTCTTGTTTCTTCCCGGACGGGGGGCTGCATTTGTAGGTGCAGGGTGGGAGCTGGCCAGGGATTTGTTTGCTTAGCAGATGTACTTTGTGTAGCCCCCATAGCATACTCTTATTTGGGTCAGATTGGGGTACTTCGTTTGGACAGGCTGGGTGTCCAAACAACTTTGGAGGGGAGGTATTCCTTTGTTTTTAAATCTGTCCTTCATAGAATGGACAACTTTTTAAAAAGTGTATTTTTCATTTATTTAAAGTTGGAAGAAAAAAGATAGTAAACACTTTTTTTTTTACCTGCCATCTAAAACTAAGAGTGATAGGAAAATACTTCCAATTAATTGTCTCTTCTCCAGCCTCCTTGTCCCCAGTCCACACCATCCTCAGAGCCTCTGACTCATCTCCTGGCCTCCAGTATGGGCCCTCCCCAAAGTTATGACTTGATCTTTCTAAAACATAGCTTTGATCATGTTATTCCCCAGATCAAAAAACATAAAAGTTTCCATGTTGCCTAAAGCATATTATTCAAATATCTGACCATAGACTTCAGAGCCTTTCATAACCTGGCTTTCTGGTTTTCTTCTACACACACACACACACACACAAATACACACACAAATACACACCCTAACACACAACATCACACACATACACATACTCTCTCACACATGCACCCTTATACAACCTCACACATATACACACACCCTCTCACACACACACCCTTATAGAGCATCACACACATATACATTCCCTCTCACACACTCTTATACAGCATTACACACACACATACACCCACCCTCTCTCTCTCTCACACACACACACACACACCCATATACAGCATCACACATATATACACAGCCTCTCTCTCACACACACATACACCCTCATACATGACACACTCACACCCCTCTCACACACACCCTTACACAGCATCACACACATATACACACCCAGTCTCTCACACACACACCCTTATACAACATCACACATACACACACCCTCTCACACATACACTCCTATACATCACACATATACACACACCTTCTCTCTCTCTCTCATATATATAACCTTATACAGCATCACACAGTCTCACACACACAGCCTTGTACAGCATCACCATCTACATACACACATGCACACATTACTCACATCACATACACACGCTGCAAACATGCCTTTCATATTTTTGCTGGCACATTCTTTATTCCTTGTCCTAGTATATATATTCCTACTCCTTTCCGTGGTGAACTCTCCGAAGGGTCACCTGAAGACTGTGCGTCTCTTTCAGTTTCCTGGAAATGGAATAACAATATTAACTGCTGTACTTCTTAATATGCTGGTGGGAATAGGAATGTTGGGTTCCTCATAGTTTTAAGCCCCATTTTCAGAGAGTGAGAGGCACCTTGTAAAAGAGAGAATGGAGTGTTTCTCAGGTTGAAATCAACTTAGCTTGGGGTGCCGTGTGACACTGGTTGGTTTGGGAAAGGAGTGACCGTCACCTGGTGACATTTAGACTCTCTCCTTGTTAGTAAGAGCGCAGGAATCCTGTACCATTAATAGTTGCTCACTTGCTGCTTTATGAAACAGCCTTATTGTGGAGGAGAGGAGACCCAGTGACACTAGACAACCTTTCAATTTATCTAGCAAAGCACATGAAGTTCCTGTCTCAAAGGGACAAGAATTAAACAAGAATGAATACCAAATAAAGAATTCATTTGTATTCATAGGCTTTTAATAAATAAAAAATGATTTTTTTTTCCTGAAATGAACTCTGAGCCATAGGTCTTGAGACTTCTTGTTTAATTAACGTGCAGAATAGGACTTCTTCTTGTTTCAAAATGACCATTTTTTTTTTTTTTTTGGAAGCTTGAGCTCAGATCTTTAGTGACATTTTTTCTCCAAGCAAATATTTACAGCCGAGCTGGAAACTGACAGGAAGGAGGGTTTAAAATGAAAATGTTACCAAACTGAAGTTTACATCTGAGCGAAACACATGGTGTCACCATGGACAGAGTCCTAAGAACTCAAAATATTTGTCAATCTGTAGAACTTGAAGAAGGCAAGCTGTTTCCTTTGTTAATGTGAACTCTAAAAATGACATTTTTGTGCATGCGTTGTGATGGCCATTTCTACCTGTCTGTTTGGTTTCTTTATGGTCATGGGACTCCAGCCATTTGTTCCTTTTCTTTATCTTCTATTCAGGAGAGGGCAGACTGCCTGAGGGTTAGTCCTCATGTTTATTT